CAGAACCCCAATTGCAGAAGAAATAATGCCAAGAATCAACACATGAGATAACAACTAATCAAAAAGTTTCTGAACAGGAAAGGAGGCCACCAATAAACTGAAGCAAAAACCTAAAAGCAGGAAAAAAATCACCAGTTATTCCTCAGGCAGAGGACTAATATCTAGAATATGCAAAGAACTCAAAAAATTAGACCCCTCAAAATGAGGAGACACTTCTCAGAAGAAGAAACACAAAAGGCCAATCAATTCACAGAAAAAATGTTTTATTTCACTGGCCATTTGAGAGATGCACATTTTAAAACAAAATGAGAGTCCATCTCACTCCAGAAAGAATGGCTATCATCAAGAAATCAAACAATAACTCATGGTGGAAAGTCTGAGGAGGAAAAGGAACCTGTTTTGATTGTCACTGGGAGTGTAAACTGTTATAATGTCTATGGAAATCAGTATGGAGATTCTCAAAAAACTAAAACTAAAAACTTCATTTGACTCAGCTATTCCTCTTATAGGTATCTTCCTGAAAGAGTTAACAGCATCATATTACAATGATACATGCATATAAGTTTATAGCAGCATAATTCATAATAGCTAAGTAGACTAATGGATTAATGGTTACAGAAAATTTAGTACTTGTACACAATGGAATACTACTCTGCCATAACAAAAGACAAACTTGAGTCATTTGTAGGAAAATGGAAGCACCTTGAGGCCATAATGTTAAGTGAAGTAAATCAGACACACAAGCTAAATATTACATGGCTTTTCTGATATGATAAAACTGATATATAAATAAAGCACAAAATAAAAAGATAGGTAATGGGAAGTAGGAAATAGGTGTTTCTCAAATGGGAGGGGATTAAAAGATAGAGGAAATGGGGAGAGAAAGGAGGGGAAGGAAGTGGACAAAAATTAAGATGTATTATGTACATATACTAATTCCCATGAGTAATGTAACCATTATATACTGCAAACATATACCAACAAAAATTAATAAATTCTTATAGGTTATATAGGAAAATCAATTATATTAAAATTGGTAAAACTTTTAAAACAAAACATTTATGTTGCATACTACAGTGAAATACAGATTCTATATAAAGAATAAAAGAGATAAGAGTACTGAACACCAACAAGAGCCCTCTCCCCAGCTGACTTTGCTACAGCACACTGACCTTTGTGACTCCACCTGCCATGCAAACATACTCCTCCCTCCAACCTCCAGCATTAGCTTACTTTTGCCTGCAATGCCCTGTCCATATCCTCATGTTCTGTCCCCTCTTTTCATATCTGTGCTCAAATGTTAATGTCTCTATCAGACTTTCCATACAACTGTATTTAAAATTAAAAGACCTGCCTCTAAACTTCAATCCTTCACCTGATTGTACTCTCGATTTTTTTCAAATGAAAAAATATGTTTCATATATTCACTTACTAATTTGGTTAATTTTATATTTCACCATTCACATGCACACACTGAATTAAATTGAATTGGTGAGCATAAACAGGAATTTTTCTCATTAATTTATCCTTCCCTAACCATGCTGTCTACTGAACATTCCATAAATTTTTTAAATAGCACTATGCCACCTTCAGCACCTAAAATACCATTTTTCTACAGTGACTATAAATGCAGTTGACATGATCTTTAAGCAACAAATTTGACAGCTAATATTGATGGGCAAAGTATGTGTTCTCTTTTCTCAAAATAGAAAGAGGGATCTAATTTTAGATATTCCCATTACTTCTATTACAACAAGCTCTATTAACTGTCTTATTATTCCCCAGGAACCTTTTGTAGTGTCTGGTTATAAAGCGTAAGATAAGGTCTACAAGTGCTCCACACCTTGGAGAATGATTGAGCTTATTATTTCACTATAAATAAATAAAATTATAAAACTATCTCATGCATTGAAAAATATTTTAGAATATCAGGGGAAAGCTGCTCAAATCTCAAAGGGATATTACGCTATCACATAAACAGAAACAATACTCTCATCTACAGTTTTATTTTAATCATAAATATGAGTTTCACAGCTCAAGAGGAAATAAAATATTTTAATGATCACTCTCTGGAACTCATGGCACACTACAGACTGGATCATCCAAATGCTCAGAAGTCACTCAAATGCTTTTTTGCACTGCAGGGTAATATTTTATTTCCTTCTCAGAGAGCTCTTCCCAGCACATTACGAGGAAGTGAGTTAAATTTTGATATACCACATTGTAATGAGTATTATGCATAAATGAATTTACTATCAAGTGTTTTCTTTTTATTCTGAATTTATGAATATTTGATTAAAATAAAATTCAAGCACATAAGCTTACAAATATTAATTTTGCCTTTGTTTCACCAAGCCTTTGGAAATATATTTATCTACGTCACCTAGCCTTTAAAACTATTAATGGGTATTGCTTGCAAAGAAGCATGCAATTGCACTTGCAATGAAAATGTGTAAATGATAAATTTCTGGAGGCAGATTTTTTTATCAATATTACATTAATTTTGTTGCTTGTTCAATAGACAAAACACGATAAGGCTGATTCAATTCTAATATTTTATTCCTTTAACCTATATATTTATAGCAGTTTTACTAGTTTTACATGCTTTGGTTTTATTTGAAATAGCCCTTCTTTCTATGACACAACTCATTTAGCACTGGTGTAGTTTTGATTATTGCATTTAGGACCGTCTTTGGATTGTGACTCTGTGTATCCCCAAGAAACATTGTACAGAAGATTCAAGCAGGATGAGTAATGGCATTGATTTCATACAACATCGTTGTGTTTCACAGCCAGTGAAATGATTAAAGTAGCTGAAAAATGCGTCCTGAGAAATTGGGACAAAGGCCAGAGTAAAAAATGACTAAAATACAATTTACTTTAAAATTCAATCAAATGAATTATTATGAAATTGAATAATCACTATGTCTTCTGTGGCAGATAAGTGAATATTTCCTTTAATAAAAGGATGTAGCAGAATACATTTGTAAGCATCTGACAATAAAGATATTTTGCAACAATGATAAGAATTGCCTCATACTAATATTAATATCCTTCTGCTCTTTCTCCATTTATACATATATTGTATGATTTAGAAGTCTTCACCTCAAAGGTGTGTTACTTTTTATTTCTAATATTTGGGAAGAGCCAAGGTACCCTTGCCTTGTAGCTTACTGTCTCAGACAAAATAACACATAGTCTTTATCAGAACCTATACAATAGCTTCAGTTGAGAGAAAACTCTACAGTCATTCAGAATAAAAAACATTTTGTTTTAACCTTACTAGCAAACACAACAGACCAAGAGAGAACCTGTAACTACAAGAACCAAAAAAACCACAAATGCTAAAATACTTCTTGTAGTCTGAGAAATTCTGTTATCTGACTTATGTTGCCACCTTAAATGTGATTGAAAGGGAAACAGAACCACAAGGCTACATTCAGATTTCACAGTGTGCACAGCTCAATAAGCAATGAGATACAGTTGCTCCTTGGTATGCAAGAAGAATTGGCTCCAAAATAACTTGGGGATTCAAAATCCACAGATGTTCAAGCCCATTATACAATATAGCATAACATGTTTATAAATCTACACAATGCCTCCCACATATTTTAAATCATCTCTAGATTACTTGCAATACCTAACACAGTGTAAATGATATATAAAGAGTTGGCAAACTGTACCTTTTAGGGAACAATGAAAAGGGATTTAAATAGCTCTATATTTTAGTAGAAACACAACTATTCTAATATATTTATTCTGCATTTTGTTGAAACCATAAATCCAAAATCAGTGGATACAGAAGGAAGACTATACAGCAGCAGCCCTTCCACTTAGATATCAAATATGATAACCAAGAACAGGGTCCTCAGGGAACAACATTTATAAAAGGTAAGTTTCATGTCAGCAACAACAAATTGCAAGGTGGCAGCATAGATGACTGAAGCAAGACATTCAGTGTTTCAAGATTGTCTTAGTGGGAAATGCCCACATACAAAAGCATTAAGGTTATGTACACAAAGAAAAGTAGACAGTAAGTAAAAAAATCACTGATTAAGAAAACACCATGGAACCTACACACACAACTATCTGACTGCAATGCTTTTTCTTGCAACAAACTGGTCCACATGAAGCAGTCTAATCACTCAGAGCAGGTTCCCTCCAATAGACAAGGTGGCTCATGCAGTATATTGAATTTTTACATTTACAAAAAAATCAAACTTTTCACGCAGAGAATTTGAGGTGCAAGACTGTAAGACTCTTCCCTGAATTGTGGACCTGAAAGGAGCAGGCCAGAGAAAACACTTCCTTAATGCCAAATGTTCATTTGGTGTGGTTATATAAAAATTATCCATCTTAGGCCCAGAAAGCCAGAAAGATTTTTTTTTTTTGGTACCAGGGATCAAACTTGGGTCCTTGTGCTTGCAAGGCAGATGGTGGAACCACTGAGCTAAATTCCCAGCCCAAGAAAGATTCTTTTAATCACTATGCAATACAATAAGAACCCACCAGAGGAATACACATTGGTTCATTCACTGTTTCTAAATGAGACCTGACCTTTGGATATTTTAATGTGAGTGACACTTCATTTAGTCTCATTAACAGTATAAACAATTACAGTAAAGTATTTTATATAGTACTTTAAAAAGAATTTAACTTAGACTGATGTGTATTCACTCTAACGTATAAGGTAAACACATATGGACATATACATATGCAGGTAAAGTGACTTCCTAAAATTACGAAGTTTGGACTTCTTTTCTTAACTTTATGTTGACTCAGCACAATGTTGACTTTTTATTTTTATAATTTGCATTGTACTAAAATAGAATCACATTCTCCAGACATAGTTCATCAAGATCATATTCTTGTTGCCTTTGGGAGGAATCTCAGGTTTATTACTTTACCAAAAGAAGTTTTTTAAAATTTGGTGCTTCCTGCAAAAACCAATACTCTATATTAAATGAATAACTGATGTCATCTTCATGTCTTCCAGACCAATGAATGTGTCCAAGAAAGAAAACACAAACTCCATTACCCACTTCATCCTCCTGGGATTCCCCTCAAGTCCAGAAAGGCAGCTCCTCTTCTTTGGGCTCTTCTCAGTAGCCTACACTCTGACTCTCATGGGGAACATAGCCATTGCCTGGGCTGTGCATGGAGACCAGCGCCTTCACACCCCCATGTACATCTTCTTGGGGAATTTCTCTCTCCTGGAAATTTGCTATATCACCACAACTGTCCCTAACTTATTGGCTAACTTCATCTCCACAACAAAGTCCATTTCTTTTGTGAGTTGTTTTGCACAATTCTACTTCTTCTTCTCCTTTGGGTGTGATGAAGGCTTCTATCTTTGCATCATGGCCTTTGACAGGTACCTTGCTGTCTGCCACCCACTGCATTATCCACGCATCATGACCAGACAGCTCTGCACTGGTCTTGTTGTCTTGGGATGGTCCAGTGGGTTCATCATTTTCCTAACTCCAGTTGTTTTCATTTCACAGTTACCCTACTGTGGCCCAAATATCATCAACCATTTTATGTGTGATCCTGTCCCAATAATGATGCTATCCTGTTCTGAGGACACCACTACCCAGTTCATTTACT